GGGGTTCACTTTGGTGTGGCCTGGGTCTGTGCAGTGGGAGGCCACACATGACTTCGGCCCCTGTGAGCAGGCTTAGGACTCTGCACCCCTGCCTCTAGGGTAAGCCGCCAACTTGATGCTAAACCCTGTCTGAGTCTGAACAGGAGGCTGGGGCTGATTCCTCCTCCTCCTAGTTCTGGGCACTCTTGGCTCCAAGAGGAGCATGAACACGGTAGGGTAGGCCAAGAAGGGGCAACCTCTGCAATTCCAGCATTTAAACCTGAGTGAAAAGCACCCAGCCTTCTGCACCAAATAAGACCGTCTCTGGGCATGGAGAGGTAGGCCTACGTCCCACAGGTCAATGAATTCCGAGAGATGGGCCTCTCTGAGATTTCATGCCAGTGATGCCCATCCATCTATTGCCCACAGGAGTTGAGAAGCAGTTGGAAATCTAGCCCAACAGTCCAGAGCTCACACCCCCTGCACCCATTCACGCTCTTCATGTGCTCTGTTCTCTGCCCTCCTCCACACACGGTTGATCGGCCCATTCCTTAGTCCCAGTAAAGCCTGGCCTTGCGTTTGTACACAGCCAGAGTCACGAGGTGACAAGATGGGGAAAGGAGAAAGAATGGAAGGGAAAGAAAGGAAGTGAGAGCATACTGCCTGGGGCAGGAAGAGGAGAGAGCTAGTGGTTAAAAAGGAAATCAGGGCTCTCAGAGGGGAGGTGGAGGGCCATGACACCCACCCCCTCTCTGCTCTGCCTCCCCTCGGAGCCCCAAAGGTCCTTTGCAGCTTCAAGACACTTTTGCCACAACCATGCACTGGTTTTAAACTGAAATCTGAAAATCTCCTGCCACGACTGTCAGAACTTGTTTTCTGGGTGGCTTATCTGCGGAGGGTGGAGGGGAAAAGCAGCTCTAGGATATCTGCAAAGACACTTGACTCAGTCACAAGTCTTCAAATCAGAAAGGAAACACCCTGGGAAGCTGCGGACAGGCGACCGGGCAGCAGCTGAGGGATCTGCTGACCCTGCTCCGGGGAGAAAACTCCAGCAGCGCCTGCTCTCGGAACAGACTTCCGGCCCCCAACTCCAGTTAGGCCACGAAAAGAACACCTTGGAAGACACCGGGCCCTTACGAATGAACATCGTTACACAGAGGGGCTCGCTTTGCTCGGGTAGTGCCTTAGTGCAATTTCCTGCCAAGACTTTTAAAGAAACAGCACAGGAGTGGCTCCAGTTTTTCAAGTACTAGTTAGTAGTCCCTTCAACAAAGTCCAGGCAATTGAGGGGCTTTCTCCCCCTCTCAGAGAGATTCCCAATTTCCAAGGACTCCTTGCACTGTCCACTGTAGGCAATTATTGCTTTCAAATTTGGAAAAAACACCACTTTGTGTTTATGGGAAGGGGGTTTTGACATGTAATGGGGTCTATGAGACCCCATTACAGATGTTTTCTCTTTAACTCTCCTTTTCCCTCTGGCCTCACTTAAGTCCTGCAAAGGGTTAACTGTCTGCAGGCAGCACAGTGCCTCAACTAGCACACAGGAGGTGCTCAATAAATATTCAACACTTACTGAATATTCACATGGACACTCTGCCCAGCTCTTTCCCCCACTAGCCCTGCTGGCCGTACACACCCATGAACTGTATTCTTCTCAGTCAAAATCCTGGGATTACTAAACCAGGTCTAGATATGGTTTGAGAAAGAATGAAGGTGAGACTCTGTCAATACTTAGAGCAAAATGACATTACATGGAAAACTGTCACTCCAGCCCTGAAACAATGAAGGGACACACAAAATGCCTAGGAGACACAGACAGTTTTGTCTACATTACACAGATTGGAAGAGAAGCTTTACTCAAAACATGCTTTGCTCGGCAGAAACAAAAACTAAGAAATGCATAGTCCATTTCAGAGAGCCGACTGTGTAGATTGCTTCCGCTGTGGCAACATGATGGGTGTTTCTGGAGGTTTGGTAATGGGACTAAGTTCAGCACGATATGGGGGTTAAATGAAAACCCAATACATAGCCAATATGCACCTAAACGACCCACCAGCTCTATTTCTATGATACCAGGTAAAGGTCAAATTCAGGCGTTCCTGGCTTCAGAGCCTTAAATGCATGAGCAGGTGAGGTGTTTTACTGAAGAACTGGGTAAAGGCCATTTTGATATTAAACAGGAAAATACCAGAGAATATCATATTCTAGTCTGGTTGGCAGAGGGAATCAGAGGGCATTCCCCCTGAATGCTTTCGAAATGATCCCAGGGCTCAGAAAGTCTCCACTGTGCCCTAATCTCTTCACCGGAACCTTCTCTGTGATACCTTGGATCTCCCTTCTGTCACTACGGTTCTTTTTCCACCTCTCCCTTGATATCTCAAGGCATCCAGAAAAGCAGCTCAGTAGTTTTTGGTGTAAACCTGAATTCTGGTTTGGTGAGACTGGTAGATGAAGGTAACAATTTGTGAACTTAGGTGAAATCGCTTAAAACCTGTCTCTGAAGACCGAGATCTGCTTAAGACCACGTTTCAAGAAGGAAGTGGGGAAAGGGTCAGGACAGCTAACCACAGGGTACAGCCTTTGTCACAGTAGTGTGATCACAGAGTCTTCTATTTGACAGGCGGTCCCCTTTCCTGGGCAGGCAACGATAACTGTCAAAGCAGCACTGAATCGAGATAATGCTCTAGATCCTTCGAAACTGGGAGCACAAACCACATGAGAACCGTGTTCTCCGGCCCATCCCATGGGGGCTTCCCAAACAACTCCCTGAGCTCTTGTAGCCTATTTCCTACTTTTTCAGTTTCAAAACTGAACCAACTTGGTGCTTAGAAAGATGAGCTTAGCATTGAAAGGTAGACAATCAGATAAAGCTACTTTTGTGAAGATTCTCTGGAATCCTGAACTAGGCCTAATCCTTTACTCTATAGACAGGAAAACTGAGGACTAGGGGTGTTCAAAGACCCAGCAAGATCTGGGTCTCACTGTCGGTTAGTGGTGGAGCTTATCCTAGGACCCATCTAGCTTATCTCCCAGGGCCAGCACTCCGGGCCAAAGATGATGCCTGGCTGCTGGGCTTGGCTTCCAAGGCACAGGGCTGCATGGGAGCTGGGGCTATAAGACCATTACTTGGGGTGTCATGTGGTACAGGACTTACAGTTTGGAGCGACTGGGTTTTCTTTCCTACTGAGAGGACCCAATGATGATAATAGGATTCAGGCACATTCTGGATTGATTCCAAACAGCTCTGAGGAAATTTTAGATAAAAGAAGTTAGAAATATAGGAGAGAGTGGGACTGTTTCCTAGGCTTTCGCTTTTGCACACATTCTCACTTTCCTTCTACTGTAGCTGAAATGAGATGCTGGGTGCGTGTCCCTGTGCCAGCAGCCTCCTACGATGATAGAACTGAGAGTTTCTGTGTAATCACATGGCTTTATCTTAATCCAGCCAACTTCAGAACAAGCCAGACAAGCCACACCACATACTTTGGGAAGCACCTGAGCTCTCATAGAAAATCCAGGTGGTGGGAACAACGGGAGGCAGAGAAAACCGCACAGAAGGTGGGAAAGGTGGTGACCAAGAAGGTTTGTGACCACAGACTGTCCAGGAAATTAGAAGAGATCCCTCTTGGGCCACCTGGGAGGCTTGGATTAGGAGACAAGAAGGCCAAGAAAGGTCCTTTGGAGGGGGATGCATGGTGGCCACTCTCATGAAGTGGGGTTCTGCTGGTTCATCTTATTCTGACCCAGCCCAGCGCTGTTCAAATAAAATTCCGAGGCAGCCGAGCTCCGCAGCTTGGGAGATGGAAGTAGAACATCACACAGGGCCCCTTCTTGGTTCCTGACTGCTGTCTTTGTTCTCGGACAACATGACAACAGGCAGAAAGGAGAGGACATCCTGCTCCTTTCCCTGCTTTGTTGATACCGGTTTAACAGATCTCGTCTCATCTTTATTGATTTTCCTTCTGCCTGCCACCTTAGCAGTTTTTGGTTTGAATTTTCCTGATGTTCTGGCCCTGAGCTCGGGTCCCCAGGGAACCACCCTCTTCCTGCCAGACCCCAACCCCAGGCTGTCCCCCGTCCCAACAGATCCGAATTACTTCAAGGGGTAGTCGATTAATGGCTTATGTTAATGAAAGGAGCTTTTCACGGAGTCTGAACTCCAGAGCTGGAGCAGAATCATCAGGGAGGGGAGGAGGCGGCCCAGGGGCTCCGGGGTTACGACAGCTCTGAATGTAATGACCCCTGGAAACAAAGGCCTCCTCAGTGAGGGCCCAGGGCTGAGGCCTGCTGGAAATGCCTATAATAAGTAAGAGGTAACCTGCTCACAGACAAGGGAGAGTTTAAAAGGAATATTGTTTTAATATGGGATTTATTCCTGGCTTCTGGTTGTTGCTGCTGGTCTACAAGAAGGCTTCAGATTTCAAAGAAGAGTAAAAAGCACGCGCTTGGAGGAGGGGCAGGCCTGAGGGTGACAGCCTGTGGGAATGTCCTGCTGACCCCTCTCTTCCAGGCCCAGGCAGACTCCACAGATAAAAGGAGCAGCCAAACCCACCAGGCGAGGCTGCCTGTCTGCCAGAGGGCCCCTGGCGTACAGCAGGCTGTCTCTCCACACAGAACACCCTGACCAGGGAGGGCCCAGCCCGGTGGGAGACAGAATGAGACCTGCTTCGAAGACGCCAGCTATGAAGTCCCATGTCAAACACTGGGGTTACTGTCCCTCAAGGTATCATTTTGCGTTTTGAAATGGCTTTAGGTGTGACTGTCTCCCTAATTTGCAATTTACAACTTAGATGCCTGACAATCTCTAGACTAGAGACAGTTTGGATGAAGGGCAGAATCAGGTAGGCAGACCCAATTGTTAGAAAGTGGCTTTCTTTTCCAGAATCTGTTTTCTGGCAAGTTCTATGGCAGCTGGGGCCAGGGGGTGGGGTGGGCGGTGAGTGGAGGCCAAAGACCTCTCCCTCCGATCTCTGATTTTCTAACATTCTGAACCACATGCCACAATTACAGACACTATTTCCTCAGCTTTCAGCCATTTAATTGGGCTTTCTGGCAGAAACCTTGCCTATGCAGCTCACTCAGACCTTTGCTACTAACTGCAGAGCCTTTATTTTTCTTGTCAGTCGAGTCACCTTAATTGTCATTCCTGAAAGAGCTCCACCCAGCTCTGCTTGGTACCACATGGTTTTCTTTGAAAGGCCCTGCTGTTACAGCTAGAATTGCTGGGTGTCCTTTCTAAGTAAACAGGAAATGTCACTCTGTTTGAAAAAAAAAAAAAAGAGAGAGAGAGAAAGAAAAGAATCCCTCTCCTCAGCACAAATGCAATAATTTGCCAACTTATACTTCCTGTGAATGTGGAGCTAGGAGCAGGATCTACTTCTTAGAGCAGCACAGTCCTCTTCTTAGCGTCCAGATCTCCAGTGAGCGGAACCTCAGGGAGGCCTGGATGACTAGGACATTTAACAAAATGCTCCCACTGATTTTGAGGAGGCAGTAGCATCACAGTTAGGAAAGATAACAACGCATGGGAAAAAACAACCCTCTGCAGAATCACATTTAAGGGGCAAGATGGTATGCATTTAAATTTTAGTCACAGCAAGAGTTAGTGTCCTGATATTCGACCACCTTTCTATATCTGACAAATCCGAAGTCTTGAGCCGGTCAGGAGAGTTGACACAGGGCAGAAGAAAGAAACACAGGGAGATGGCTTGTCTCCTGTCACATCAGGACCTGGGTTTGTGTGTCGGGCAGGCGAAACCCCACCAGCCCTCCACACACGAGCACAGTGGAGGCCAGGAGGATGGGGATTGCTTTGGTAATGCTAACCAGGGAGCCAAAGATTAAGTTCCCAAGGACGGCGGCAGCCTTGCAGAGCGCATTCAAGAAGCCAAAGCCCGTTGCCCTGCGAAGGAAGGAGATACAGACAAGGTTGAGAAAGTGATTTCCAAGATCCCAACTTTAGACGCAAATGTCCCATAGGGTACTTTCCAATGACTCCCAAGTTTGGCGTATCATTAGAGCAAGTAACCAAACGCTTGTCAGCACAGCTGGAGTTGGAGAACCCCAGCTGTTCGCACTGTTCCTTTGGCCCTCTATTGATTTTCTCTCCACTCATTCTTATTCTGCCCATGAGTCCAATTTATCAAGACAAGAAATTGCAGGGACTAAGAAAAGTTTCTTCTCTCTTCCAGAGTTAAATGAAGATGTATGACAATGTATTTCTTAGCTCTTTTTACTCTCTATTTTTTCTTAGCTTAATTAATGTGCGAGGTTTTTAAATAACTGAAGCCTATTTTCAGAGAAAATCAGGGATGATTGTATGCCCCATCTTTCCTGTACCCTGGAGGTGACAGCTCATGCTCCCTTCCCAAATGTTTTTGGTGGCCAGCAGAAACTGAACACTGAGCTGGGCGGTCCATCAATGAGTTAGTGACACACTTCTCACGTCCCCCATCAGAGTTCCCGGTGGGAAATCAAGAAGAATTACAGAGGAGATTCAGACTGTAGGCCTGGAGATCTTGCTCACTCTGCTGGCATTTAAGAGGTGCCGGTTACAGTATGTCACTAAGACACATCCCCTTCCTTATGGCATTCTCGGGAAAAGAAAACCTTTACTACTTTTGTGTGTTGAATGTGATTTTACTGTAATCTTCTAGGGAGGAAGCCTAATTTTGTTCATGAGAGAACCGATACCACTGACATCATGAGATAGTATGAATTTCCTCTGCTTTTATCACAGTTCAGCTTTTTGTCTGTCACTGGGTGCACATGTATTAAGGCCACATTGAATGCAGGGTAACTGTTGGATACATTTCTCCCCCTGTAGAGCAAAATGTGTTTTATATGCTGCAAAATGCAGCATTTAGCACGCAGCTTTCTTGGATTGATCTGTAAATTTGTAAGGGTGGGTTTTCCTCTGGCCAGTCATAACAACTACTCATCACTACTGTGCTGTTCCTAGTGATACTTTCTTCGCTGTGTAGATATTGATTGAGGTTATTATCCAACCATCCCCCTTTCCACCCACAGGAAAAAAATCAGCCCTCCTCTTGTGCTCTGGAGCCCAGCCTATGAGTTAGTGCAGGGCCAGCGACTTTACTACTGGAACAGACGGACCTACGTGAGGGCAGCGAGCACTGACTTTCTTTTTGACCAAAACACCTGGAAAGTAGAGTAAGGAAGGGGTGTGACAGGCTCTCTAATTGAGAAACGGGAGCTTCTTGAGAAGAGGGTAAGCTAATTTTTTTGCCTTTTGGCTTGTTTTTAAAGAAAGAGACTATAATAGCAACCACCCAGAAAGATAAGGAGACTCAATATGCTGAAAAAGTCTTTTCAAATGAAATTGCTGGAGGCTACATGTTGGGTACCAGAGGGGACTTGAATAGAATGACATCACTCACCGCCTCCTCCATGTCCATGGAGATGATGCCATGAGGCGGAGGTGTTAAGAAATTAATAGATTTTTTACTCCCATTAACTGGGACTTTTGATTCCCCATCAGGGAAACTGTATATATGTATTCAATAATTATTCAGTAGTGCTATGTGCCAGGCACTATTCTAAAAAAAACAATTAATAGACTTTTTTGAGCACTTTTGGGGTTATGAAATAAGGAGTGAAAAGTAAAGAGAGTTCCCATATGCCCCTGTACTTACCCCCCCCCCAGTTTCTCCTATTAACATCTTAGTATGGTACATTTGTTATAATTGATGAGCCAATATTAATACTATGGACTTTATTAACTGAAGTCCATAATGTAAGTATATACATCACTAGAGTTCACTCTTAATGTTATGTATCCTGTGGGTTTCTTTTTTTTTAAATCCTCACCTGAGGATAATTTCCCATTGCTTTTCAGAGAGAGTGGAAGGGAGAGAGGGAAACATCGATGTGAGAGAGACATATCGACTGGGTGCCTCCACACTCGCCCTGAGTAAGGCCAGGGATCGAGCCCGCAACCGAGGTACGGCAGTGCCCTTTGCCGGAATCGAACCTGGGACCCTTCAGTCCGCAGGCCGATGCTCTAACCACAGGGCAAATAGGCTAGGGCTATCCTGTGGGGTTTTGACAAATGTATTTGACACTTGACAAATGTCCACCATTACAGCATCATACAGAATAAGAGTTTCACTGCCGTAAAAATCCTCTGTGCTCTCCTATTCATCCCGCCCTGCCCCCAGCCCCTGGCAACCACTGATCTTTTTACTGTCTCCATAGTTCTGCCTTTTCCAAAATGTCACGTAATTGGAATCATACAGTATGTAGCCTTTTAAGATTGGCTTCTTTCACTTTTTTTAAACTACATTTTCATTTCATAAATGACCAAATATATCTTCTGGTAGTAAGACAAGCTGTACTGGGGGAAAAAAAAAGGGTAGTAAGTATAGTATGTTGCTGATAAAAAAGAAAAACATATGAAGAAGTCTCTCAACACTGAGCCTGCCAAATGACCCATGCAGAATTTATATCTGTGTTAAAGTAACCGTATTTCCCCCAAGCTATAAACCTCTGATATAACGCAGAACAGGGTATAAAATACAGGCGACTATCTCCTTGTATTACTGAAGCTGTGATGGAGGAAAGGATGGTTTCCTGAGATTTCTGTGCAGGACTGAGACACACCAGGAGCATCTGGTATCTGACGCTTCTAAAAAGAGAGGATCAAATCCTTACTTCCCAAGAACCTCTTCTTTCATTTACCAAGCAGAGGCGGTTCTTCAGATAAAAATCTGGTGTGGGTGTAAAGCTTAGAGCCTCCTTAAATTAATGCTGGCATTCAAGAAAACGTGACTGTCCCTTCCTTGAGTAAATTAATTCTTCAAACACTTGTAGCTGGAGGGTGTGATTTTCTATGCACTGGAGGCACAGTTGTCTTAGAAAAATCATTCTCAAAGTGGCTCTCCCTTGGGGGTTCTCTGTTTATAAAGTAAAGAAACTTTTAGTTTATTTATTCCCTTGTTCTTACTTAAAGGAAGGGCATTAACTTCTGCAGACAAGGAAAAACACAGGTCACCTTGTGGTCCTAAAGGCCTTTGAGGGTAGGAGCTCTGAGCTTGCAGGGCAAGGTACCACGGTCCTGGTCAGCCCCAAATACCCCAGGCCTTCTCTTAACCATCAAGACCAAAGAGAAAGAATGAAATGATCAATTACCTTTCTATAAGCTCTATCCCGTGTTCCCCATCTCCTCGCCAGAATCCTTTGTTTTTAATTATTGCTCAACCTATCTATTTAAATCTTTTAAATGGAAAATTTCCCCCCAAACAGTACCCTGTGATGGCAGCAGCCCTGTTTGTTCCTCGGTCCATTAAGGCGGCCTTTCTCCCTGTACCACTAATTCCCTCTTTCTGAGAACCCAGTGCTGGTGCAGGCAGCTGGGTTAGGCTCAGCTGGTGGATGTGGCTGCCAGAGCATCCTCTCGCTGCAGCTGGACTGTGGCTCCTCCTTCAGGGCCTTCACAATTTAGCAAGTTCTAGTTCATTTATAGAATTTTATGTACTAATTGGTGACCAAGAAAAGGAGATGGCTGGCTCCATCCTGGATAGAATGAGGGTAGTTTTGCCCTCCCACCCAGCCTCTTTTTTTTTTTTTTTTTTTTTTTTTTTTTTTTGGGGGGGGGGGGGGG